TCTATACGTTTTACAAGACATGACCCATAAATCAAGAAATGTCATCTGTTACCAGATCCAAGTCAATGTCTTCATCTAGAAAGAACTCCAGACTGTCTTCGGAGCTGATACTGTCAGGCCGGCTGCCAAAGATAAAAAGAAGAAAATGTCTGATTTCTGAGCCTTTTTTTTTTTTTTTTTTTTTATCAACGGCTTTGCTTTCATTTCTCAATTGTCTTTGAAACCTAACTGTAACATAGTTCTTTTCAATAGCCTGTTTAGCCCCCCTTTTTTTAAAGTTGTACATAACACTATACCTTTATTTTATTTATTTATATGGTGCTGAGGATCAAACCCAGTGCTTCACACATGCAAGGCAAATGCCTACCGCAGAGCCACAACCCCAGCCCCCTCTTTAGCCTTCGAGGGAACTGATTATTGCAGGAATCAGTGGATTCTAGGAGTATGCAAAGAACATTAGATTCAGTCTCAGTCAGGCTCACAAATTCAGGGAGGCCCTGTACTCTAGGGTACCAATTATTTGAGTTGCATCTATGAAGTAACTTCTAAAAGAGAAACACATGACCACCTACATTGCCAGATCTGTTCTGTTATATTCAATAGGACCAACAGAGGATTTTGAAATATAGTTTTGAAACGTGTGCTCTGGTACTCAAAACAAAACTTGTATCACAGTTTGTTGAGTAGCCCAAAGACAAACTATCTTTTTAAGAGCAGATTTTTTAAAAAAAAAAATTGAGCTTTATAGTGATATGTAGTAGTTGGGTTCATCCCAATAAACTCCTACATGCATGGAATTCCATTTCATTTCATGATTTCCCCCTTTTCTTCCCTCGTCCTCCCTTCACTCCTCTGTCCTTCTTTCTCCACTAGATTTCTTTTTTGCTCATCTATTTATTTATATTTACTTCTTTTTATTTATGCATAAAGGTGAAATCCCCTGGGGTATATTTGTTGATGAACATGACTTTTAAAGAATTCATTCTGCATTGTCTTCTCTTACTCATCCCTTCATTCTGCTTGAAGAGCAGATTTTACTTTTTAAAATATTTTCTGATCACCAGGTATGGTGGCACATGCCTGTAATCTCAGGGACTCGGAAGGCTGAGCAATAGAATTGCAAGTTGTAGACCAGCTTCAGCAACTTAGCAAAGCCCTAAGCAAATTAGTGAGACACTGTCTCAAAATAAAAAATAAGTGGTACATATACACAATGGAACATTACTCAGCCATAAAGAAGATTGAAATTATGGCATTTGCTGCTTAATAAATGGAATGGAAGACTATCATGCCAAGTGAAATAAGCCAATCCCCCAAAACCAAAGGCCGAATGTTCTCTTTTGATATGCGAATGATGACTGAAAATAAGCAGGGTGGGGTGTGGGGTGGGGAGGAGGATGTTCACCAGATTGGAGGGGGAGGGAATGAGAGAAAGAGAGAGAAGATGGGAATGGAAAAGCCAGTAGAATGAATCAGACCTAACTTTCCTATATTCATAGATGAATACACGACCAGGGTAGCTCCACATCGTGTACAACCATAAGAATGGGAAGTTATATGCCATGTCTGTATGATAAGTCAAAATACATTCTGCTGTCACGTATAACAGAAAGGAATAAATAAAAACTTTTTAAAATGAAAAAATAGAAAGGCCTGGGGATGTGGCTCAGTGGTTAAGCACCCCTGGGTTCAATCCCTAATAACCCCACCAAAATATCTATTTCTTCTGATCAGGGTGAGAAATACTGGTTAGGGGGATGGGCAGTGAGTTACATCCTTAGAGAATAATTATGTGATTTGGAAAAGGGGAAAAAATCCTCCAAGAAAAAATGAATTGAAAATGACAGGAATACGAACGCGACAGGATTGGGGAGGGGGTCAGGTGGCTGAGATCTAGGTAGCTCACATCTGGTGGAAGCTGTGGTGGTGGGAAAAGAACATAGATGAGTGCAGGGCAGCAGCTTAGGGAACGTGTAAGAATGAAATGAGTGAAGCAGGGGCAGGAAGAGCCGTGGGAGCCAACAGACACGAGACAGAGACCCCTGACATCTGTAGCCTGGGAGCCCAGAATCATGGAGGCAGCCCGCAGAAAGAAAATGATTGAAGGATGGGATAGGAAAAAATTAATAATGTGCTTTGCTCATGCTGCAAAGAAAATTGGGACAGCAAACCCACCTGGAACTGCCCCTCCTCCCCTCTCTTGGTAGTTGTAGATGGACAGCACACCTCTATTTTATTTGTTTATTTTCATGTGGCGCTAAGGATCGAACCCAGCACCTCACACATGCTAGGCAAGTGCTCTGCCACTGAGCCGCAGCCCCAGCCCTGGAGCCGTCCTTTGAGAGGTGTGAGGAAACAGAGGACGGTCCATGGTAGTAAGATGACTATTTGGGAAATGTCCTTGGCAAAACCATTCCATAGACTGTCCACTTCTCCTTTTTTTTTTTTCCTGGAACACCACTTTCTAATTAATCTCTTCTCACTTCTTAGAAGCTTGTGGCCTTTTGGGGTTCCTCTCTTACATAAATAAACCTCTGTTGCTCCTCAGCTTTCTTCCCCTCTTAGTGAACCCATCAGGGCTGACCTCATTCTCTGTCATGGATCCAACTATTGCTAATGCTCTCACGACTCCCTCGTCTCACTGTCTTTTTCTTGAGCTCTCGTCTTCAATGTCTGTCCTCCAATTGGACATCAATATCCACCTGACTGTCCCCAAAGGAGCTAGAACCAACACATTCAAAAATCCCACCCTCCTCTCCCTCTCCAGGCCTGCGGCTCCTCCTGTGCTCCCAGTATCACTGAGTGCAGGCCGTGTGTCCAGTGACCATGCAGGAAACCTGGAGTTATCCTTAGTCATCCTCTCCCACACACTTCTCCAAGCTTTAGGCACCACTCAGAGTCCTGCCAATGTCTGTCCCAGCCTGTCCTTCATTCCCACTGCCATGTCTGGCTTGGACAGCCCATCTCCTCTTATCTGAATTGTGACAACAGGCTTCCCACTGGCCCTGCTACCTCCATCTCTGCCCCCACCATTTCATTCTCCATGATACCACCACATCCATCTCTCTAAAACGCAAATTGAATCTGTGCCACACTCTTGCTTCAAACTCTCAGTGGCTCCCCAGGGCCCGTGGGACAAAGGCCGACTCCTTGGGATGGCATCCCTGCTGCCCATGGTGCGGTGCCCATCTACCCCTCCACTCTCTCTGCCTTTCACCCTGGGGCTCAGCCATTCTGTCACCTGGGCTGGAAAGGCCTGCCCTCCGGGAGCTTGACTTCATCAACTCCTCTTCCTCCTCTCAGGGACTCAGTTTAGCTGCTGCCATTCTGGAGGGCACTCACTGCCCCTGCCCCTGCCCCAGCCTCTCACCTGTCCTCTGCTCCAGTGCTCCCTTGGCATGCCTGTGGCACTCTGCCTCCCCATCCAGTGGCACTGTCACCTGCCCCGTGAGTGACAATCAAGTTCTGGTCTGTTCTCCTCCCTAGATGGGAACTAGATTGTCTTTTATTTATTGTTGGGGCCCCAGGTCGCTCAATAAATATATCATACGGGGTCTCTATGTTGAGGGAAGGCTAAACGGTTATTTTCAAAAACAATGCCCCGTTTCCAAGAGAGAGTTCATCAAGTAGGTACTGTACTTTGTCCAGGGTGATTTCTTAGGTTCTGAGTTGAGGGTGGACTTCTTGCGTGGCTTTCCTGTCCAGAATGGTCAGGTGAAGTCCGTGCCGTTGGTGGAAAAGAAATAACATGCAATTAGAAATGAGTTTTTTCACTTGGTGGAAGGTCTCCGTTTTCTGCACAGATATGCCCGTTACTTCTATTTTTTTAGAAAAACATGATTTTATTATCAGAATGATCATCATATAGAAAATGGAGCTCTTTTATTCTACTGAAATGGGGCTCCAAGCCTAAGTATTAAATCAAAGGCACAGGGGCTGGGATGGAGGAGAAGTGGGTTGTCAGAAGTAGGGTACAACTACAGAAAGCCACAGAAATTTTGAAATGTTCATCATGCTTCTAGTTTTATATAAAAGTGATGTGTGCTTCGTAATATCCTGTGGAGGGACACCCTTCCCCACGGTCACAGACAAGGCACCTGTGCACACTTGTTCCCCCATATCAAGGTTTGGGCCCAACTCTGGTTTCAGATTAAGAAGTGGCCAAAATGGGTCTTGAGTCTGTTCATTCACTAGCCCCAAATCTCTCTTCCTGGTATTCTCCCTTGAAGTCATGAAAGGCCTCTCTTTTCCCACCTGGCAAGCTCCTATTCATTCTTCAAAACCCAGTTCAAATGTGACTTTCCCTATAAAGACTCTCCCAAATGTCTTTAAAGTATGTCTGTCACACGTTGGGACTTTTGCCCCATTTTGTCACATTCATCTTCTTGTCAGGTCTTAAAAAAAGTTTTTGCCTCCAGGGTGAGTAAAGGAAAGAATAAAAAATGGTGGGTCGGGGGAGTGGCAGAAGGATCCCACCACCATTATAAATTAACGTCTTCGCTTTTAAGGTAATACCTGAACATATATTACTAAAAATATTAAAACTGTCAAGTGGTGTTATTTAAACTTAGTGACATCTATAGTCAAGAGTTCAAAGGGCAGAGAACATTGATACCATCACCTACTTCTCCCCGACTCCAACGCTCTACTCCAGATTCCCCAACAGGCAAAGTAACATGTCTTAAATAATGGAGGTGCAAACTGGCTTCCTGAGCCAAAAGAATTGCCTTTTCCAATCAGCAGACTGAATGCACAAGGCATCCGGCTCAAACCAGGGTCATTTCTGGGCAGGCCACTAAACATACCTGCTGGTTGGGACCAGTATAAAGGAGAAAAGGAGTCAGCAAGAGTCAGTACTGAGGGATCACACACCGCAGGGGCAGGTACCGGAGGGAAGAGGGTCTGGTGGGGACTAGGGCCTCCCGAGAGGGAGAACCCCTGTCATGGGGAATTTCCCAACTTGACTCTGGACTTGTGGTTTTCTAGAGAATCTAGAAATCCAGATGTTTTCATTGTATCTGCTGATTCTCAAATGTTGGCCACCATGTTAAACAATCTTAAAACGTTGGAGCCAAACTTCTGGCCTGCAGCTATGGTGGAGTAAGGAGAGAGGAAAGCCACTTCCCCAGAAGGGGACTGAAAGAGTTCTTGGAGACAACTATGACATGGTAGCATTGAGTGACTCCCCCCAAGTCACTGGCCAAAGGAAGTCACTTGGTTGCAACCAGCTTGGTTTTCTGTGCCCTGGGAAGGGGCCAATTATTATCAAAAGGCAGACCTGCACGAGAAGGAATGAGGGGGCCCACCTAGGAAGACCTCTCGTGGGGGTCAGGCAGGGGGTGAATGGTTCACGTGGGCACCTTTCTGAGTTTTGTGATAACCTCAGATAGAACGGAACTCCTGAAGCAATGAAAGGATAAGGGGTGATGGAGACAGCACCCTCCACTTTCCATTTCGAGGGAGACACATTCTCTGGTTTTCACTTTGGGGAGTGAAGTCGCACATCTTGACTTTTACCTAGGCTCCCTCTTCCCATGGAATAGTCATCTGAAGTCATCGTCTCCATATCAAAGCTGTCTCTTTTACTGGAACTGATGGAGGATTCTAGACATGGAAAGTAAAGAGGAGGAAGAAGGGGAGAGACATTTCTGTGAATGAGAGCTTTGTCTCAGTGTGAAGGTACAGTCATTGTCAAAATTTCCAGGGACAGAAATATTATATGGTGACATTATAACTGGTAAACACATGCTGCAAATGGTAAGGGCTGGTCTCTGGGGTAGACAAAGGGGTGAGAACAGACCTTTGGGACAATAGGAGATCACCATTTCCAATGTCAGTCTATAAACCCTGAAATCCCAGGGTTAGCTAATAGACACCTCTGGACAGAGAGACCCACAGGGCTCTGAGCACCGTCTATTGAGATGACAAGTCTAAAGGGTTACATCCCAAGCTGTTGAACACAAATAATTCTCCATTTTCTTTTCTGTTTGTCGTCTGTCTTGGCCAAAGCTTTAACTCCGCATCATCACCTAGCTCAGCACTACTCAAACCATCTCACTTACTCACACTTGGCGCAGTGAGGGACTTGGGAACTGAGCAGAGCGGGCTCTGGTGCTGGGAAGTGTTTAAAAATCAGCTCTCAGCACGAGGAGTTCTCCCCAGTGTGTAGTTTTGCTCCAGCTGACCCCCACCCGCTTCCTTGTGTGGCCACCTGGATGGCCACACAGGGAGCACCCTGCTTTGCTGCTTGATAGCCAGTGTCTGACAACGCTGATTTCTAGTGTTTATCCAGTTTCTGAAACCTTTTTTCAGGTGGGAGGGTAAGTCTGGTCCTGGTTACTCTAATGTTGCTGGAAGTGCAAGTCTTCCATTGGGATTAGTGGTTCCACTTCGATCACCTATTAAATTCCTCTATATTATGGGGTCTATTTCTGGGCTGACCTCCTAATACTAACCGCACGCTATTCAATTACTGACTCTGTGGCTATGTTTTAAAGGATTGGTAAACCCCTCCCATCATGGTCCCCCCACCCCCACCCCACTGTGTACTGGGGGGACCCAGGGGCACTTTACCACTGAAATATATCCCTTTTTATTTGAGACAAGGTCTCGCTAAATTGCTCAGGTTAAACTTGAAATTGCCATCCTCCTGCCTCAGGCTTCTGAGTCACTGGGATTACAGGCATGCACCACTTCTCCTGGCTTCGTTATCTTCTTAACTTTTTTTTTTTCTAGATGAACCTCAGAATTATTGTGCAAAGCTCTCCCTGTCCCCAAACCCAAGTCTCTGGGTTAAATCTGTGGTAACATTTTAATTATAATTCCATGAAATGTATACATTTGTTTCAGGAAAATCTATAACTCTAGAATATGTCTTCCTGTCCAAAAATATGATATAGTTTTCTATTTATCAAATCTCCAGGTCACACACATTAAATTTATATTTGTTTTCTTGGATTTAATTTTCTTGAATAGTTTCTAATCATTCAAGTTAGTCTATTTAGAATAATATGTATAATTGACTTTATATTCACCTTCTTTATAGAATTCTTTAGTCATAAACAGTTTTTGAGAAATTTGGGGAGGTTTTCTATGTTATTATATCATCTGCAAATAATATATTTTCTCTTTTTTCCATGTATCTATTTTTATTGCTTTATATCTGAAATTAATCTGTTTCCAAATTAACAATATATAGTTACAAAGATAATGGGAATCCTTGTCCAGATTTTGTTTCTAAAATCCCAACTATTTAAACAAATAACAAACATCAAAGCAGAATATTTTAGAATCAAAAATACTGACTTAATTAAAATAAGAATATGTGACAGGCGTGGTGGCACACATTTATAATCCCAGTGGGCTTGGGAGGCTGAAGCAAGAAGATCTGAAGTTCAGAGCCAGTCTCAACAACTTAGCAAGGCCTTAAGCAACTCAGCAAGACCTTGTCTCGAAATAAAATACAAAAAGGGCTGGGGATATGGCTCAGTAGTTAGGTGCCTCTGGGTTCAATCCCTGGTACCAAAAAAAAAAAAAGTAACTTACTTTTTATTGATTTTGGAATGATGATATTATTTTTTGATGAAGTTTTTAGGGCTTGCTGAATTTGCCACTGTTTTGGAGACAATTTCAGTAGAAAGAATCCGTATTTCATGTACTCTCTAAGGAGGAATTCTGTTTTTGCTATTTCACTAACTCAAAAGAAAACAAAGATATGGTTATGCGTATCTGGGTCAAAGCATATACATTAAAAATATTTCATAAAATTCATTATCTTGATTATGTAGCTGATTAATAATGTACTTGTCAAAAACTGTGCACATGGCCATAAAGATATAAGCTTCAATAAGACATGAGAAGAAAGAAACTGGTGGGAATGTCACCTGAATGGAATGTGCCCAGAGATTCTCTCTAAGCTGATGACAATTTTTCTCTGTTGTGGGAAACAATTTTTCTCTGTTGTAAAACACTTGGGAAACACTCTACTTATTATATTAAGTTTTAGACAGAAGCTAACAACAACAACAACAAAAAAATGGCACTTACATAAGGGAAAGAAAGTGTATCTACACTTTAAGAGGCAACTCATGGGATGCACTACAGACAAAATTTCACCCTCCAGTAAGTTCTTAGGAGTAGGTATTATTATCACCAACTTTCTAAAGGAGAAATGGATGACTTGCAAAGTCATCTAGTGCTCAAACCTAGATCTGTCTGACTCCAATGCCCAACAATACCTAGACACCTGAACTGCAAGCTCCAGCTTCACATTGCTTCACACCAACATGGGACAAGCAGAAAATACTGAAAATAAGGAAGGACAGCCTGCGTGAAAAGAGAGAATCCTTCTGCATCTTCCTTATTCAGACCCTGAGGGGCACCTTTATTGATATTGCATCTTATCAATATCCCTAGCTTCCATTCTTCAGAGAGAAACATCCTTCAGCTCTGGTGTGAGAGTGGTATTCAAGGATGAGTAAATGGCTCGATTACGTTTCAGCAGTTGGAAGATGATGGGATCCCTTTCCTTGACCACTCTTTGGATAGAAATCCTCCCAGATGTGCCAAAAAGAGCACAGTGTGGAAACGGGCTGACATGTAAACAATTGTAAACAGGTCCCAGCCCAGCTTGGTGGAAGACCTCCTCAGGCCATCTTGCCCAAAAAGAGAAGAGGGCCTGCATCCCTGG